TTTGCTGTGTGGTAGTTGGCAGTGTTGTAGTAGTGAGTGCTTCAGTAGTGGTTGGAGCTGCAGTAGTAGTTGGAAACAGTAGTAGTTGGTGTAGTAGCAGGAGCTATTGTAGTAGTCAAGGCTTCAGTAGTAGTTGGCAGTGCAGTAGTTGTTGTGGCCACAGTAGAAGTTTGCTGTGTGGTAGTTGGCAGTGTTGTAGTAGTGAGTGTTTCAGTACTGGTTGGAGCTGCAGTAGTAGTTGGAACAACAGTAGTAGTTGGTGTAGTAGCAGGAGCTGTTGTAGTAGTCAAGGCTTCAGTAGTAGTTTTCACTGCAGTAGTTGTTGTGGCCACAGTAGTAGTTTGCTGTGTGGTAGTTGGCAGTGTTGTAGTAGTGAGTGTTTCAGTACTGGTTGGAGCTACAGTAGTAGTTGGAACAACAGTAGTAGTTGGTGTAGTAGCAGGAGCTGTTGTAGTAGTCAAGGCTTCAGTAGTAGTTTGCACTGCAGTAGTTGTTGTGGCCACAGTAGTAGTTTGCTGTGTGGTAGTTGGCAGTGTTGTAGTAGTGAGTGCTTCAGTAGTGGTTGAAGCTGCAGTAGTAGTTGGAACAATAGTAGTAGTTGGTGTAGTAGTAGAAGCTGTTGTAGTAGTCAAGGCTTCAGTAGTAGTTGGCACTGCAGTAGTTGTTGGGGCCACAGTAGTAGTTTGCTGTGTGGTAGTTGTTGGAATTGTAGTAGTAAGTGTTTCAGTACTGGTTAGAGCTGAAGTAGTAGTTGCAGCAATAGTAGTAGTTGGTGTAGTAGCAGGAGCTGTTGTAGTAGTTAAGGCTTCAGTAGTAGTTTGTACTGCAGTAGTTGTTGAAGTCACAGTAGTAGTTTGCTGTGTGGTAGTTGGCAGTGTTGTAGTAGTGAGTGCTTCAGTAGTGGTTGGAGCTGCAGTAGTAGTTGAAACAATAGTACTAGTTGGTTTAGTAGCAGGAGCTATTGTAGTAGTCAAGGCTTCAGTAGTAGTTGGCACTGCAGTAGTTGTTGTGGCCACAGTAGTAGTTTGCTGTGTGGTAGTTGGCAGCGTTGTAGTAGTGAGTGTTTCAGTACTGGTTGGAGCTGCAGTAGTAGTTGGAACAACAGTAATAGTTGGTGTAGTAACCGGAGCTGTTGTAGTAGTCAAGGCTTCAGTAGTAGTTTGCACTGCAGTAGTTGTTGGGGCCACAGTAGTAGTTTGCTGTATGGTAGTTGGCAGTGTTGTAGTAGTGAGTGTTTCAGTACTGGTTGGAGCTGTAGTAGTAGTTGGAACAACAGTAGTAGTTGGAGTAGTAGCAGGAGCTGTTGTAGTAGTCAAGGCTTCAGTAGTAGTTGGCACTGCAGTAGTTGTTGGGGCCACAGTAGTAGTTTCCTGTGTGGTAGTTGGCAGTGTTGTAGTAGTGAGTGTTTCAGTACTGGTTGGAGCTGCAGTAGTAGTTGGAACAACAGTAGTAGTTGGTGTAGTAGCAGGAGCTGTTGTAGTAGTCAAGGCTTCAGTAGTAGTTGGCACTGCAGTAGTTGTTGTGGCCACAGTAGTAGTTTGCTGTGTGGTAGTTGACAGTGTTGTAGTAGTGAGTGATTCAGTAGTGGTTGGAGCTGCAGTAGTAGTTGGAACAATAGTAGTAGTTGGTGTAGTAGTAGGAGCTGTTGTAGTAGTCAAGGCTTCAGTAGTAGTTGGCACTGCAGTAGTTGTTGTGGCCACAGTAGTAGTTTGCTGTGTGGTAGTTGGCAGCGTTGTAGTAGTGAGTGTTTCAGTACTGGTTGGAGCTGCAGTAGTAGTTGGAACAACAGTAATAGTTGGTGTAGTAACCGGAGCTGTTGTAGTAGTCAAGGCTTCAGTAGTAGTTTGCACTGCAGTAGTTGTTGGGGCCACAGTAGTAGTTTGCTGTATGGTAGTTGGCAGTGTTGTAGTAGTGAGTTTTTCAGTACTGGTTGGAGCTGTAGTAGTAGTTGGAACAACAGTAGTAGTTGGTGTAGTAGCAGGAGCTGTTGTAATAGTCAAGGCTTCAGTAGTAGTTTGCACTGCAGTAGTTGTTGTGGCCACAGTAGTAGTTTCCTGTGTGGTAGCTGGCAGTGTTGTAGTAGTGAGTGTTTCAGTACTGGTTGGAGCTGCAGTAGTAGTTGGAACAACAGTAGTAGTTGGTGTAGTAGCAGGAGCTATTGTAGTAGTCAAGGCTTCAGTAGTAGTTGGCACTGCAGTAGTTGTTGTGGCCACAGTAGTAGTTTGCTGTGTGGTAGTTGGCAGTGTTGTAGTAGTGAGTGCTTCAGTAGTGGTTGGAGCTGCAGTAGTAGTTGGAACAACAGTAGTAGTTGGTGTAGTAGTAGGAGCTGTTGTAGTAGTCAAGGCTTCAGTAGTAGTTTGCACTGCAGTAGTTGTTGTGGCCACAGTAGTAGTTTGCTGTGTGGTAGTTGGCAGTGTTGTAGTAGTGAGTGTTTCAGTACTGGTTGGAGCTGCAGTAGTAGTTGGAACAATAGTAGTAGTTGGTGTAGTAGTAGGAGCTGTTGTAGTAGTCAAGGCTTCAGTAGTAGTTGGCACTGCAGTAGTTGTTGGGGCCACAGTAGTAGTTTGCTGTATGGTAGTTGGCAGTGTTGTAGTAGTGAGTGTTTCAGTACTGGTTGGAGCTGTAGTAGTAGTTGGAACAACAGTAGTAGTTGGTGTAGTAGTAGGAGCTGTTGTAGTAGTCAAGGCTTCAGTAGTAGTTTGCACTGCAGTAGTTGTTGTGGCCACAGTAGTAGTTTGCTGTGTGGTAGTTGGCAGTGTTGTAGTAGTGAGTGTTTCAGTACTGGTTGGAGCTGCAGTAGTAGTTGGAACAATAGTAGTAGTTGGTGTAGTAGTAGGAGCTATTGTAGTAGTCAAGGCTTCAGTAGTAGTTGGCACTGCAGTAGTTGTTGTGGCCACAGTAGTAGTTTGCTGTGTGGTAGTTGGCAGTGTTGTAGTAGTGAGTGCTTCAGTAGTGGTTGGAGCTGCAGTAGTAGTTGGAACAACAGTAGTAGTTGGTGTAGCAGTAGGAGCTGTTGTAGTAGTCAAGGCTTCAGTAGTAGTTTGCACTGCAGTAGTTGTTGTGGCCACAGTAGTAGTTTGCTGTGTGGTAGTTGATGGTGTTGTAGTAGTGACGGTTTGAGTATCAGTTTTATTTGCAGTAGTAGAAGAAAGAACAGTAGTAGTTGGTGTTGTAGTGGTAGTAGGAGCTGCAGAGGTAGTCAAGACCACAGTAGTAGCTGTTTCTGCAGCAGTAGTAGTGGTTGCAGGAGGAGTCATTGTAGTGTCCAGTAGATGTTCTAGTCCAGCAGTTTTTGGGGCAATTGTAGTAGTTCTCTCATCTGTAATAGTTAAAGTATGATTATTTTGAGCTGAAGAACATGTTTATAATAATAATAAAAAAAAAAAAGGTAAAATGAATCCAAGTGGGAAAGGGACCTAAATGTGGAATTAGAACTTGAGGATTGGTATACATTAGGGGGACATGCTTCCAGATATATTAATACATCTATCACAGAAGCTAACTATAAAGTCCTACTCAGGTGATCAGGGGCGGACTGACCATTGGGGAACTCGGGCACTGCCCGAGGGCCCGGGGTCAGTAGGGGGCCCCATGAGAAGCCCCTGATACCTTTCATAGGTTTTTTTGGGTGTGGTTTGAGTGTGGGCAAGAACATAGGGGCCCCATGATCCCTTATCCCCCGGGGGTCCCATGAGTTGTCAGTCCACCCCTGCAGATGATATATGGCCCTGAAGTTTGAAGATTTTGGATCCATGTATACAATTTTATATTCTCAATGACAGGGACAAATCTTAAAAAAAACCCAACAAACTCTATTGGACCAACCCATTCTAAAGGCTCTAGGCATGTAAGGAGGATGATCTCCTTTGTGTTCATAGCTGCACATATTGCTAAAGCCAGGTCATGGAAATCTCCTACCTTTTCATTTGACATTATTAACCACTTCAATACCGGGCACTTATACCCCCATTCCTGCCCAGGCCAATTTTCAGTTTTCAGCGCTGTGAAAATTTTGAAATTTTTATACTTTTTTTCACACAAATAGAGCTTTCTTTTGGTGGTATTTAATCACCACTGAGTTTTTTTTTATTTTTTTGCTAAATAGAACAAAAAACAAATAAAACTTTTGAAAAAAAAAAACAAAATGCACTTTTCTTCGTTTCTGTTGTAGAATTTTGCAAATAAATAACATTTCTTCATAAATTTAGGTCATGTATTCTGCTGCATTTCTTTGGTGAAAATAATAATAATTGAATTCTTTTTTTTTTTCAAATGTTTCTATAATTTTTTTTATTTTTATTCAATTTTTTCTTTTTTTTTTACTATTTTATTTTTCAACACACCATAGTAGTTACCATAGTAACATTGAACTACTCGGGGCAAGTGATCAAGATTTTTTTTTAACACATTATGATTGCTAATATCAATGTATTTAATTGATATTTGCAATCATTGTTACTGAATGAAACTGATTCATTCAGTCTTTTCTTGTGATTAGCTGTGATTGGGCAAAACTGATCACATAATACAGATGGGCTGTGATTGGCCCTGTCTGTATCATGTGACTGTGACTGTATACAATTGACATGTGATCTGCTGTGATTGGTCACAGTGGTCACATGACACTGGCAAAGGGCCGGTGTAGTGATATGTCATCAGCTGTGTCCCATGGACACACCCGGTGACAGATCGCGCCGCTGCTCAGCCCCACGGCTGCATGAGTGGCACATTATGACAGGACATCATATGACTCCCAGTCACAATGGCGAGTGTCCCGCCCAGCTATCAGTCTGCTATAGGCCAGGCAGGAAGGTGTTAAAGTGTTACAAAACCCAGGCCCCTGCATTCACTATATCTGCTCTCCCACAGTACACAGAACATGGACATGCAATTTATTTTAGTAAATATAAACTGCTAAATAATCATTTTTCTCATCAGCAGTTAGAGCAGTCTTGTGGCTTCTAACAGTGTCCAGAAGAGCACTGGTTAAAGCTTGTAGAAGGAATTTTCATTCTACAGGAGGATGCAGAACCCTTGACCTCTGTCTGGACAGTGCTGATTGGCCCTGTGCTGATCACATGCACTCTCCCAAGAAAAAAAAAAACCTCTCTAGCAATACACACCAAACTGAGCATGTGCAGAGTGACTCCACACTATGTCTTATCATGAGATAAGAGGGGGGCACTGGAAGAAGGGGAGGATCAGAGAAAACAAGATCAAACAGCCTAGTTACACAATGCAGAGGATTAACCCCTTAGGTTCCACAGTGAGTATAGCAAGCATGCTTTACAGCATATACAGACTGATTTTACTGCTGTGGGTTTAGTAACACTTTAAGACCAAACATTCCTGGATAATGATTAGAGATGAGCGAATCGAACATGACGAAGTGGAATTATTTTCGAAGATTTGGAAAAATTCTATTCGCGACGAATCCGAAGATTAGCAAAACTTCGGATGCACGAATCGAATTTTCCCAAAAATGGCGGCGACATGTGTGGCGACGGAGAGAAAATGGACAGAGAAGATGGGGCGGGGATCTCTGGGAAGGCGCGCAGACAAGGCGCGCTGACCCATAATGCATTCATGACATGTGATCGCATTAGCCAATCAGCAGCCAGCCAGCACTGTGTAATGGTGGAGCTATAAATCGCGGCCATCTTAGAATTCTCCATTAGCCTCCGGTCATTCAAGAGAGACAGACCTGTGTGTATTAAGGGACAGAGTTAGGGCCACAGAGACTTTAGGGCCACAGAATCATTACTCAGGGACACAGAATCGTTACTCAGGGACACAGAATCGTTACTCAGGGACACAGAATCGTTACTCAGGGACAGACACAGAATCGTTACTCAGGGCACAGAATCGTTACTTAGGGCCACAGCTATCAAAGAATCGAAAATTTAAAGTGACATACACCCTTTTTTTTTTTGGTGGCTGTCGTGCACAGTTGGTGCTGCAGTTTGCCGATTGTGCAAAATAAACTGACTTTCTGCTTCACAACCACTATTGTACGTTCAAAGAGTTAGATCCATTTACACGCCGGGTGGCGGTAATATTTTTTGGGTGATTAGTGCATTCCAGTGACAGAAACGTACAGTTTCCAGCCAACGGCAAGCTGCAATTGACCGATTGTGCTAAATAAACTGACTTTCTGCTTCACAACCACTATTGTACGTTCAAAGAGTTAAATCCGGTTTTATTTTTGGGGTGCTTATTGAATTAAAGAGTATGTCAGACAACATGCAGAGGAGTGGCAGAGGAGGCAATGTTTTAGGAGCGAGCAGACGTGGCAGCAGAGGAAGGGGTCGAGGCAGCACTAGTCGCAGCCAGAGGCCAGTGCTCCCGGTGTCATCCAGCGGTCGTGTCTCCACTGACAACCCTGCCGTCATCGGCCCCGTGACTGCCCAAATGAGTGAGTGTGCGGTGATTCTAAGATCGACGGCACTCATCTGCATGTCATACTGACTGACAGTATTATTTCTCTTCCCCAGCAGACTCCAAGGGCATTTAAATTAAAGGTACAGTGTTCTGCACTAATATGGCTCTCTGAAGCCTAGAAACACCCTTTTTTAAGTTAAATTCCGCAACTTTCGGCTCGAAGCAAATTTATTCCGCGAATTCGGCGAATCAGCCGAACCGAATTTTTGAATAATTCGCTCATCTCTAATAATGATCCTGGAAACTCTCAGCCATCCTGGATCAAATATCTTTTGGGAAACACCTAGAGCCCACATGTGGTCCTTGTGCCTTGATACAGAGCAATATGGTTGCACAGTCTACCCTATTTACTTCCTTTCTCTCTTTCCCCTTTCCTCTTCCCTAGCATGCTATACATCTATCCCTGGACTAGTTCACTTGGACGCCACCTTAAGAGTCGGGGACACCTTATGCATATGGGATTAGCTCTCTATTTTGTTTTCTTATGTGGAGTCTTGTGTACTAAGGGAGGCGGCTGTTACTGTCAAGCCCCAACTTACCCAACACTACAAGAGTGTGGGGGGCCAGGACAGTGATTTCCTCCATTCACTACCGTACTTGACTATGTGATTCTCATGGAGCATGCCTCGGCCCGACCCAAGTCTCTCCTCATTGGCTTACTGACTGTGACTGACAGTAGCAAGAGCGAATGGCCCCTGCTGCTGTCTCAGTCAATATGGAGGAAGAGTACCCAGAGAGCGTGCACATTGCTGGATCAGAATGGGGCCCAGGTAAGTATAAGGGGGGCTTAGGGGGGCTGCTGCACACAGAAAAAATGTTGACCTTTATGCATAGAATGGATTGTCTCTCTGACTTTTATTAGAATAAAGTTGTATCTGGACCTATTAGCAGTGGTGTAGCACTTCTATTTCCATTTTTGTTACAATATACCACAAGCCAAGGAGACTGTGGAAATTCACTGTCGGAGTGGCCTGCCCAGGAACCAGATTATTTATATTAACATCAAAACTTTAAAATGGTTGTAAAGGATGAAGTTTTTTTTATCTCAATTAATTCTCTGCATTAAGGTAAAAGAATCTTCCATGATTAGCTCCCCCCAACCCCCTCTACATAACTTCCTGAGACAGATCTCAATCCAGGACTGTGTCTGAGAGCAGCAGTGCACCTCTCTCTGTCTCCCTACTGGATATGGGTAAGGGGAGGGTGGGAGGTGGAGAGAAAATAACTCTCCCTATCCTTGTGTAACAGTTTTACTCATACCACACCCCTAATGAAATCATTGAAAAGAGAACCCTAACCACAAAAGCTAATGGGGCTTTGAAAGTACCACACCATACTAATACAAGTAAAGTGAAAATGTGAAAACAGTGGATAAAATTGAACACCTATTATTAGGTTAAAAAACCACCCATCGGTGGAAAAAGTTAGTCAGCCATAGACACATAAAGGTATATAATTAAAATCAACAAAAGGTGGCTACAGTAGGCAGCAGACGATGTCTTAGACGTAATAAACATCACGGGCATCAGCCATAGCGAACAGCAGCCACGGTCTTGGAACGAAGTAGGTTCAACTGTACAAATAATATATGAAATGGTAAATGGTTATCAGGGGAAATATATACATATATAGACAAAGAACACCCAACCATATGACATAATAGGTGTTAATGGACAACTGATGATACAGTATCCACTTAAGACCATGAAAAATGCTTTGCGTTATAGATTCCAATGCGTTTCGTGGAACGCAACCCACCTCTTCAAGGAAAAAGGGCAAAACATAAGTGCCAGTTGATGATATCAGCACACTCTGAGATAGTTCCTGCTAGGTATAGGTCAATGGTATCTGGGTGAACAAGGAGAAGCCTTCAACAGCCATAAGAAAAACTTGTCGATCAAGAAAGGGTTCAAATGTATTTGAAGACTTGTGGAGACTAAGTCTTCATTCATTTAAAACAGGCATGCAGTGGCCAGGTGGTATAAGTCATCATTTGTAGCCAAACATAGATTTCTTTACAAAAGTGGGAAGACAAATATCTTGTTGAAGGAGGGGGAGGAATGAACCTCAAGCCCATTTCCCCCTGTGTAATCCAGGTGTGGTTAGGGTTCTCTTTTCAAATTATTTCCCTACTGGGTATGGTAGAAGCAGTGGGAGTCATTGGCTCCTGCTTCTGATTTCAATCAAATCATGTCAGGAGGTAGTGGGTGGTGAGGCTGAGCCGCATTGTGTCAATAGACGCATACAGCCCGCCCAGGATCACCATACAAGTGCCCCCATAGTAAACAACTTGCTATGGGGGTAATTGAATCGAGGAGGAGCTGAGAGCTCTGGCTGGGGATCTCAGAAGAGAAGGTTCAGGGCTCCTCTGCGTAATATCATTGCACAGAGAAGGTAAGAATGACATGTTCCTTATTAAAAATAAATACATTAATTAATAACTTTACAATCACTGTAACCTCTTCCCTACCGTGTTATAGCCGATAGACGGCTACAGGACGGTCATCCATGAATGTCCTCCCAGAACACGTCCCCTGCACTGCCCTAGCGGAGCATACCCGGCACCGCTGGTGATACAGTAAACGGCCAATCACAGTGGCTTTTTGCTACATGATCAGCTGTGTCGAATGACACAGCAGATCACCGGTTAAATACAGTTGCCAGTTTATCAGCTGCACTTTCCTCACGCTGTGACAGTATTGCCGATAACTGTGATCGACACTGATCACCAGGGCACCGATCATCAGTGCCCTGATGCCCATCAGTGCTCATCAGTGCCACCCACCTGTGCCCTGCAGTGCCATCCCATTGTGCCCATCAGTGCCACACACGTGTGCCCATCAGTGCCACCCACTTGTGCCCAGCAGTGCCACCCACCTGTACCAAACAGTTCCATCCATCAGTGCTGCCTAGCAGTGCCACCCATCAGTACTGCCCAGCAGTTCCCAACAGTGCCGTCAATCAGTGCCACCTATCAGTGCCCATCAGTGTTGCCTACCAGTGCAACATCATCAGTGTCAACTCATCAGTGCCGCCTATCAATGCCGCCTACCGGTCCTCCTATAAGTGCCCATCAGTGCTGCCTATCTGTGCCACCTCATCAGTGCCCATCAGTGCTGCCTATCAGTGCCTATCAGGGCTGCCTATCAGTGCAGCCTCATCAACGCACATCAGTGAAGGAGAAAAAATTACCTGTTTGCAAAATTTTATAATAGAAACAAAGAAAACATTTTTTTCAAATTTTTTTGCTCTTTTTTTGTTTATAGCGCAAAAAAATAAAACACCAAGTGGCGATTAAATAATACAAATTTCATATGAGTACAGTGTTGCATGACCGCGCAATTGTCATTCAAAGTGCGACAGTGCTGAAAGCTGAAAATGGGCCTGGGCAGGAAGGATGTATAAGTGCCCGGCAGGCAAGTGGTTAAGATACCAATAGCAGTAAGATATCCTTACTGGTGCAATGCTATTCTTGCACTTCCCTCAACTTTGCAGAAATCTTGAGTGTTGGGAAAACCGAATCACTTATAGTGATTCACAAACTCATATGGTAGCAGGGAAGGTTTATGTTGCTTTTTTGTCAGGATATACCCCAATAATTATGCTCAAATGTCATAAAGAAATGTGGGCAGTCACTATTATTATTATTAATATACAGTATTTATAAAGTGCCGATAGTCCGCTCAGCGCTGTACATTACAAAGGGGGACAGAACATGTGACAGAACAATAACAATACAATGCAAAACATGAGGGGATTGAGGGCCCTGCTCTTTCGAGCATACAATCTAGGAGGGAGGAGATGGTGGCACAGGAGGAGAAAGCTGTGGGGGATGGAGTGGTAGGAGGAGTGGAGGAGGTCGGCAAGTTAGCAGGGGGTGGGGTAGGCTTCCCT